ACTACTACTACCACCTCTACCACTACTACTATTCTTACTCCTACAGGTATGGCTGCTGAAATTGCGACTGCAACTGCTACTGTTATATAACACTACTGCACTACACCTGCTTCCGCTACTACTACCAACTGGTAGTGCTAGTGCTAGGTGCTAGTGCTAGTGCCAGTGCTACTACTCTGACTTCCACTTCGACTTCTACTTCTACACTTCTACACTGTTCCGGTTTCTTCTACAGCCGCACTGCTGCTGTCTCCGGCTCCTCCTGCTCCTACGACCACGGCCACGGCCACGGCCACGGCCACGGCCACGGCCACGGCCACGGCCACGCCAAGGCCAAGACACTACTACTACCACCACGACTTACTACTACTACTACTACTACTACTACTACTACCTACTAGTACTATTGCTAACATCACCGCCACCACTGCTACTACTATTGTCTGCACCATTGTGGTGACCTTTGTCCCACACCCCAAAACCTAAACCATAAACACAAACCCGATTTTGCTTTATTTACCAAGGTCATTGGCATGGTATTGGCTGCGGGCAGCGGGATGCAGTTGGTCGGACCAGCTATTGGAGGTGTAATTAGGGTTTCAGGGTTTGGGGCTTAGGGTTCAGGGTCAAGAAAACATACAAAGACCAGAAAGCATCGTTTTTTTCGTCAACCCGTGCAGAGCGAAGCCTTGCGGTCATGAGCATCTGAGATGTGGATTGTGCTGCTACGCCCTGTCCAGGCTGGACCTACAACATTGTGCCGAGCTTTCCTGCTGTGATCCTTTGTAGTCCAACAGCGCAAAGACTATTTTCCCTTTCCCCGAGCCCGAAACCCCAAATGCGAAAGATCGCGAAGCATATCGAGGCCTACAAATTGTCCTTTAGAGTCATTACATGATGATAGTATAACAACTACTTTCTAATCATGGACCTTTACAGCACACCGGAGAAGCAACGATCCCAAGCATGATTGGCTGTCCCCTAAACCCTAAACCCTAAACCCTAAATCCAAATCTCGGCCCTGAACCCTAAACCCTCAATCGTAAATCCTAAACTTGGCCCTGAACCCTAAACCCTCAACCCTAGACCCTAAACTTGGCCCTGAACCCCAAACCCTAAACAAGGATCCCAAGCATGATTGGCTGTATTTTGGCCGTGGCTCTCTTCGCGTTCTTCCTAAGAATCTTGGTTCCCCAGTAGTACCCTTTTGCCCTTTTTCTTTTTGGGTTCCCTTAATAAAACCAAATAGTAGGAAAACGGGTACCCTTGTTATTTAGGGGCAACTGGGGAACCTAGGAATCAGGCATGACATCCGAAGTCCGCAGGAGGCCCCAGTTCAGGGTTTAGGGACTCGGAATTTAGGGTTTAGGGTTGAGGAATTTAGGGTTTAGGGTTGAGGAATTTAGGGTTCAGGGTTTAGGGACTCGGAATTTACCGTTTAGGGTTTAGCGTTTAGGAATTTAGGGTTTAGGAACTTAGGGTTTAGGGTTTAGGAATTTACCGTTTCGGGTTTAGGAATTTGCGGTTTAGGGTTTAGGATTTTACGTATCAGGGTTAAGGGTTTAGGGATTTAGGGTTTAGCGTATAGGAATTTACGTGTTAAGGGTAGTTGTTTCTGGACACCTCTCTGTGAGGCTCGCTTATAATGTCACCAACTTGCAGGGCATTGCGTGTGTGATTGTGCATCATTATCAACCCTACCTATAGTCTCCATTGTAGCTCCTTTTTGGGGTCATAATTATAGGATCCTTCGTAAAAAATGGTTAAACCAACAAGAGGAACTACAATGGAGACTATAGGTAAACTTAAACCTTAAACCTGCAGGAGTCATTGGGTCTAAATTAGAGTTTGTGGCTCGCAAGTCTAGCCCTCTACCTTAGCCAGGCCGCAGGCCTGAATCCTAAACTCTAGGACATTTTCAGGTGGGTAGTTACCGTTAATAGAAGCCTTATGGAAGGTCTATATACCTTGCAGAAGCCGTGTAGAAGCCCTATTTTTCCTAAACTCCCCACCTGTAGTTTCCTTTAATCAACCCTCACTCCTTGACAGGCGGCTCAGCCCGGGATGGATGCGGAACCAGGAACGCCCTCGAAACCCACCGCCTCCACACTCAAATCTGTTGGATCCCTTCTACGTACCTGGCCGGTACCTGTCGTCCCAGGCCCTGTTCAGTCCAGTTTTCATGTTCTTGATCACTTTTCTTCTTAGGAAAGGATACGAAAGGCACAGGAATCAATCCTTCAAACGAACCTTATAATACCTAAACCCTAATGCCGAAGGCCAAACCCCAAGGTCATCTTCATGCGGCTTTGGAATGGTTTTGCCACTTTCTCCATCTTCGAAGCAGCACCCTTGTGGCTCGTTTCTGACCGAAATGTCGGTGGCCTTGGCATGACTGAGAAGGAGGTTGGATCGTTGCTCTCCCGGTCCGGTCTTTGGAATTTGTTTTACTTTTCCTTTCTCATGCCCCGTTTTGCCAAAGTTTTGGGGGAACGTTGGGTCTCGGCCATTTTCTGTGTGGTTGGCGCCGTGATGGCAACGATCTTGCCTTTCTGCACCTCGCCTCTTATGGCCAACGTTATCCACATGCTGGCGGCCTCAGCGACGATGTCGCAGGCTGCCATGAATGTAGCGTTCACCAACAATGCAGCTGGGCAGGAAGGCCGCGCCGTGGTGACGGGCGTTGCGGTGACCGTCGAGACCATCGGCAAGGTGCCACGAAAAAAAGCTAGAATCTCAGAGGAGGTTGTATGGCGACATGGTATATGTAGGAACATGATAGATGCGACATCGCATGCAAGTGTTATATTCAGACGGTGAGCATAGTCTTGCAGGTTCTGATTGGCTTGCATGTTTCGACTTAGCCTACATGATTGTGTACATACTGGTTTGCCAGTTGCTCAATCTGCTGTTTTGAAACCTGTACTGTCGTAGGACTGAAGCATTGGTAAAATCAAGAATCGAACAGCGCATTTTGACATGCACACATAAATGCAGAGATGCATACGCCTAAACTAAACCCTAAGCCCTGAACCCCGAAGCCATTGGTCTGTTGTGCCAGGCTCTTGGGCCAATCGTCACCTCCACGATGTTTGCTTGGTGTCTTCGGACGTGGGGTCTGCAAGGCCATGGCACAGTATTCTTCGTCTTGGCACCCGGGTTGCGGTTATTTTTTTCCCAAACCCCCCAGGTACCTACTACATAGGGTGCTAGAGCCCCTAGGGCCCTAATAGTAGGTACCTGGAGGGTTAGGGTTTTTGTTTCTGGAACTCTTGGCCAGTTTGGTGCAGATTACGATTAAGGTTTTGGGTTTAGGTTCTGGTGCTAAGTGCTAGTGTGGTTACGACCATGGTGTAAGTGGTACCGATGGTTGTCTCAAGTGTCTTCACGCTCGCAAGAAGACTGCTATAATGTAGGGGCATTAATAATTAGATAGGGTTTAGGGGTATATTATGCTATAATTATCATCAGGAACCCCCAAAACAGTATAGGTAATTATATTACTCTGTTAACCCTAAAACCGTGAACCTTATAAGGCAGGCCTTTCTGTGGTGCAGCTGATCTGCACTGCATTTTTGCCAGCCTATGTGGAGTCAGACTCTTTGCGGCGTCGGGGGCACGAGCCCATTGCTGCGGAAGAGCCACAGAAGGCGCGATGCAACTGACAGGGCATGGTGTAGAGTAGAAATTTCTTGCAGAACGCCATCCGTAAAGCTGGTACATGTATCTGTGAGACCACCAGCCCCTCCCCTTAGCAGCTTAACCCTAAACCCTAAACCCCTAAACCCTAAACCCTAAACCCTAAACCCCAAATCGTCGATGCTGGATGATGATCTCCGCGCGGCTTCCCACAGGAAGCTCCAGCCACTTTTCCCGTAAACCCTAAACCCTAAACCCTAAACTTCCCCCACAGGAAGCTGCAGCCACTATCCCTAAACCCTGGACCCGAAACCCTAGCAACCGCTAGACCCTAAACTTCCCACAGGAAGTTCCAGCCACTGTCCTGGGACTGGAGGAGACGATTCCAGTGATGCATCGTGCACACAGTGGCTGAAGGGAAGCTCCTTGGCTGCTATCAGTCGGGTCTTAGGGTTTTGGATTTGGGGTTCAGGGTCTAGGATGAAGATTTTCGGATTTAGGGTTTTGGGATCTAGGATTTATGGTCTTGGATTTAGTGTTTAGGGTCTTGGATTTAGGGTTTCGGGTCTGCCCCAAATCACGCGCAGCCCTAGATACTACTGCACCGTTCTTGCTTGCATGTTTGCCAAAAGTACGAGCGACCTTCGTATCTTTACTCCTGTCGTACTTCTGCTATGTATTTGCTTTTATGCTCGCCCTGAACCCTAAACCCTAAACCCTAAACCCTAAACCCTAAACCCTAAACCCTAAACCCTAAACTCAACCCTAAACCCTAAACCCTAAGCCCTGAGTCCCATGAGGGTGCACCCAAGGTTTTCACAAGAGCAGAGTGGAGCCAAGGAAGATGCCGAGTCGCTACTCAGTCCTCAGAGAAAGATCCCCGAGGCAACCAGGGTGGACCAAAGTTAAATATAGATATATAGATATATAGATATATAGATACATAGATACATAGATATATCGATAGATATGTATTTCATGTATGTAAATGTGTGTGTGTATATATATATATATATATACATATATATACATATATATATATATATATATTCGTTTTACATATATAGATGTTACATGCTTATGCGTTCAACTTAGTAGGAGACTGGCATAATTCCTACTACGGGTCCTGTTTTGCAACAACCCATTGGTCTGAAAGGAGGAGCGCCATTGGGCTTACCGAAAGACTTGGAAGAACTCCGGCATCGTCATGAAGCGATGGTCTAATTACAGCAAATGCGGCTTCTCAATACCGATGGCGGACGACATTCCGCCGAAGGACATGATGGACATGACTGTGGAGGAGCTGGCGGCCCAAGGTGAGCCCTTTGTCACGAAGACGTGAGTAAGGGCCAGCCTAGTCAAAGTTGAACTCGAAGGAGCCCCAACCGGTGCCGAAGAAGTGCCAAAAAATCAGCAGACTGGCAGGGATCCGTGCACTGACGCTTGACCTTCAGGGTTCGGGGGCATAAGATTCCTTAGCTTGCGAGCCTTGGAGCTTTGGTCAGCCCATGAGTCGGAGCGTGATATATACGGATATTAACCGTTGGAATAATGTTTGGGGGTTATCCTTGTAGAAGTAGTGCATGGCGATAGCTTGAGCAATTATGCCTGCACCCTTCTAGCACCCTTGCAGAACCCTTAAAAAGAGCCGATGGAACGCTGATACAGCCATTTGGACCTCGCTTCTCCTACCAGAGTTCTAACGGCGTCAAGCCGGGCCGGACCAGGGTTACCTCCCTGGCTTTAGGATTTGGGTAGGGCCGGAAGCCTGATTCCGGGCTCAATGGCCTTACTAGGGTTCATATAGGGTTCAATGATGTGCGTTTTTGGCAAGTTTAGCCAGCACGTTTGCTGTTGTTGTTGTTGGTCCTGCCCGAACGAGCCCACTACCGTCAAGAGATACGCTTGCGCCGCATGGCATGGATGATGGATTGAGTTTGTTTGCATTCGGGTGACGCAGTCATGGTCATGCCGGACAGCACTTTAAACACCCTAAGCCCTACACCCTAAACCTTAAACCCTAAACCCCAAACCCGAAACTATGAAGCACCCTAAGCCCTACACCCGATCGTAAAGTCCTTAGAACAATCGAGCACCTGTTTATCACCCTTGCAGCAACAGCTGCAAAGCCACTTGGGGGTTCTCTGGTCAAGTTCCTGTCCTCCAGAAGCCGAATCCGCAGAAAGTAGCTCCTGAATATCCAGACCATACCTATAGTCTCCATGGTAGTTCCTTTTTTTTGGTTTGACCATGTTTATACTAAGGATCCTATAAGGTAACCCCAAAAAGGAACTACAATGGAGACTAAAGATAGCCCCTCAACCCTAAGGCTCCGTGTGCCTAGAAAGTGTTGACTAGGCCTTCAATGAAAGCGGCTTCTATATAGGCACTGTAAGGCCTATATAAGTATATACAGGGTTTAGGGTTTAGGGTTTAGGGTTTAGGGTTTAAGGCCTATATAAGTATATACTAAACAGGTTCTTGAGCCCTAAGTACACTACTAAACTCCTTAAACCTAAACAGTAGACCCTTGATGCGAGGGACGGAATAAGCGGGAACGGTATTCCTTACGGTTTCCGATGAGAGCATCAACGTCAAGCATGCCGCACGTCCCTATTCTAATTGTCAAGATCGCTATATGACAACCCTATCGACTCCTCTCCAAACACCATAACATCCCCTAACAACACTCCAAGACACATGATGCCAATTGACAAGAGCTCCGTAGCAGATTCATAAAGTCATAAAGAACAGGGTACAAAGCCCCCTCATTACAAGCCCTAAGCCCTAAACCCCTAGACCCCAAACCCATAAACCCCTAAACCCTAAATCCTAAAATCGCACGCCCACCGGCAGGAGGTCGAGGAGGAGGCCAGCGCAGAGGACGCCTTCGACTGCTTCCGCGAAGATCAGAGGAGCCAAGATCTCGCTGGGTTTAGGGTTTAGGGTTTAGGGTTTAGGATTTTGGGGTTTAGGGCTTCGGGTGTTAGCAGTTAACGCTTTAGGATTTAGGATTCATGGTATAGGGCTTCGGGTTGTAGGACTTAGGGCTTACAAGGGCTTACAAGGGTTTAGGGTTTAGGGATTGGAGGGGCTGGCCGCATTGTTGAAGTGGTTTGGTGCTTCTTTCAGGGTTCCTTAGAGCCTTCTAACTAGAATGGGTTCTACAGATTTTGCTTTATGGTGCTTTCCTAATCCTTAAACCCGATGAATTAACCCTTTACCCTAAATGCTACCCTAAACCCCAAACCTAAACCTCAAACCCTCCTAAACCCTAAGCCAGGAAGCAAGCGTCCGAGGTCTTCCACTTCCACCGTACAGCGTGCGTTGTACCCGGTTTAGGGTTTAGGGTTTAGGGTTTAGGGTTCAGGGTTTAGGGTTTAGGGTTCAGGGTTTAGGGTTTAGGGTTTAGGGTTTAGGGTGCAACAGTTATCTCTCCAGCAGCTAATCGTATGACGTATGGGGGCTTCAGCCGCACAAAATAGGCTCAACAATGCCCCAACACCCATAAAAGTCTAGTATTCTACAACCCTAAACCCTAAACCCTAAACCCTATACATGCCTTTGAAAACTTTTGGGGTCCAGGTAAACCCGAAACCCCGAACCGCAGAGCAGGACATGGTCAAGGCAGAAGAAGGCCAGACCCTTGCTTAGAATCTTAGGGTTTAGGGTTTGGGGTTTAGGGTTTAGGGTTTAGGGAAGAGCCTTAATAATTAGAATAGGGTCTTGGGGGTTCCCTTAAAGGGCTCCTTAAAGGGTTCTATAAGGGCTACTATAAGGGTTTAGGGGCCTTAATCATTGGACTAGGGATTTGGGGGTTCCTTATTATAAGGATAGTATGATATAACAGCAACCCTATTCTAGTTATTAAGGCTCCTAGAGTGTTCAGTTTTCTGGCTTATACCGGCTTGCTTTGTGGTTCAGTTGGGGCTGTGTGGGTGCATTTAGGCCTTTGGGTGGGCTTAGTGGGTCATGACTTGGGGCTAGAGGTTAGAACGTTTGTTTTGGGCTTCGAACTTGCTTGAGGCTTGAGAGACTAATTTTGCAAAGGAAGCCTAAACCCGTCTGTGCAATACAGGGGCCTGAAGAAGGGAATAGCGCTGAATCGAGCCATGGAGTATATTATAGCAAGTTTGGTTTCCTGAGGAACCTTAAGGGGTTTTATTCCGATTATCTCGGCCCTTGCATCAAGGGGTTGCACAAGCTTTTGTTAGAAAGCCAAGACGGAGATTGCTTTGCCCGGGTTGCCAATCCTACTTGGCTACATCTAGCAATGATTAGTACTCGTCTCCCTATATCAACAGACAAAAATATACTTACACCAAAACCCTAAACCCTAAACACCAACACCCTTCCAAAGATTCAGTCCCACATAATCGGAGGGGCCTCTTGAGCTCTTCTGCCGCCCTGACCATCGTAACCCTCAACTCCTCGCCCTGATCCCGAAATCGCGATGCCCCCATCCTGTTTAGGGTTTAGGTTTAAGGATTTAGGTTTTCCCTGTGTCGATCATAGCGATCGCGCTTTTGGGGTGCATGTTGGACGCTCTGGCCAGACCATACCGCGAGTGAAGAAGAAGAAGAAGTTTAGGGTTTAGGGCATCCTGAAGATTAGACTTTCTTCGTAGGGAAGCTCTTGGCCCTACGTAAATCAGAGGTTTGAGTATTTGATCTAGAAACAAAGGGTTTGCATGCGAGTACCACTTCAGAGTTTGGATTTTATAGGGCTATAAGGATAGGGCATTCGTTTGAGGCTGAAATTTTCGGGAGCAGGGGGGGCGGGAAAGTGATATAGATACCTTCTGAACCGGCGGAGTAAAACGGCGCTATCTGAAGGGGGCTAACTGGGGTTCCAAGTTGAATCAGGGAGGGCGAGTGCTCTAGCACAGGATAACCTTGACCCTATACCCTAAACCCTAAACCCTAAACCCTAAACAAACTCATTGTCTGATCCTCTCATGTCGGAGTATCTCACATTGACTATAGGATTCCTGAAGACAAAACAGAAAACAGGGATAGTTTTAGACGGCAGAGACCTCAACAACTCGAATATCAACTTTATGTAGCATAAGGTCGTAGTAGGACTCTTGTTGCTTGTAAGGTCCCCCCTAGACAGACCGGCCGTTCATTTTCAGAATCGCCGCGTATCAGGCCTGGTGTTGCACCTACCAAAATGTGGCTTGCCACTCTTCTCTCCGCTCTCGTTCTGTCTGGGGCTCAGGCTGTGCCAAACCCTAAACTCTACCTATAGTCTCCATTGTAGTTCCTTTTGGGGGTTACCTTTATAGGATCCTTAGTATAAAAATGGTTAAACCAAAAAAAGGAACTACAATGGAGACTATAGGTAAACCATAAACATGTGTTTGGATCCTGGGGCCTAGGCTCTACGAGAAATGCTCAACTAGGTGGCAATTTGGGACCGTTTGGTTTCTAAAGAGGTACCTATTCATAAATACTTTTCAGGGCCCCAAACTACAACCCAGTCAATTATGGTCGTGCATGCAGCAGGCCCCACACCCATTCAGTACGATGGTCTGCCAACCAATCTTCAGGCCCAAATCTACAGCCCCAAGAAGACAGCAATATAGGGGCCTGAATAATTAGAATAGGGTTTGGGGTATATTAGACTATAATTACCTGATGCCTCGTTTGATACGTTTATTTCTGCTCTTTTGTTCGTTGTAGTCTTTGTGCGTTCTTGGGGGTCACAGGCTCTGAAACGTCCCATTCGAGCGTTTCCTGTCAATTCGAGCGCTTTTGTCTTAATTGAGCGCTTTTGCTCTTTTGGGCATTGATGAGGCACAGACATCCAACATATGAATGGCATCAGTAGCCTACACCCTATAGGAAACCCTAAACCATCACGTACTCATCCGATGTGTAAAGTCCCTAAACCCACCCAGCTTGTACCCACCCAGTAGTCGTATCCATACAGGATGTGCTCGTTTGTGGTAGGGTTTGCAATGGCCATCCATCGCTCGGCTTCAGCATCCCGACGTTCGGAAGGCGCGAGCTCGAGAAGCATCATGAGCATTGATGTCGGGCCCATAGGAACCTCAGCTTGTCTGCATGGTGGTACGATGTCATCACGAGTTGTAGACCGCAGTGCATGCATGTATTGTGGCCAGGTGGCCTTCGCCGATCCATGTGCTGGCTTCTCTCGGAGCCTGTCAGGTGCAAGCCCCCCCCGCTGCTTCTGTGCACATGGACTTTTGCTCATGCCTGCTGATTGGCACATGTGCACCTTCGAACCTATGACATGTACATGTGTGTGCTGCCTTTTCAAGCTGGCACAGCGCAACATGCATGTACAACTAGGGTTGCAGGCTTATGCATGTGACGATCGTATGCTTTTGGGAGACTTTAAAGATCTAGCCATGGCAGCGCCAAACATGAAGATGGGGCCAACCGATTTGGCCAAGGCTTTGGAGAGTGACCCTACGGTGCGTCGTCGTGCCGCTGTGTACACGATGGTACTCTAGTTGCACATACCATATGCCACATGTATATAGCTTAGGGCTTCACGCATACCTGGAAATCTTAAAATTGAGGTGAAGATGCCTCCAAGTGGATTCATCGACCGCAACGCCATCGATGTCAATGAGGATCTCCTGAAGCACGTGATTTCGAATCTGGGTGCGAGGGTCAGTGTGGATGTTCTAGAATCCCACTTGATGAGTTTGTATGAGATGATGAGCCTTCCGTTATCCAGCACCTCGCCGATATTAGGTGCTATGCACTGCATGTATCCATGGGCACATTTATAGGACTCGAAATTTGTATAGTTACTACATGTGATTGTCCAATTAAGGTTCGCAAGCTTCCGTTATGGCATGGTCGATCAAGAGGCTTGTCTCGACCTTCAAAAGAGCAATCTCGAGGCCTCATAGGCCGCGATCTGCTTCGATACGTTCCATTATGGAATATGCTGGAATCCCAGTGCCAGCAGCAAGCACCGCTGGCAGTGACAGTGGTGATGATGACTCAATGGGTGAAGAACATGAGGAAGAGGAGATGGAAGATGACCCACCCCTTGAGGATGTGAGAGAGCTGGACCCTTCCAGCGCCGTAGTGCCTGCTGAGCCTGCAATCCGTGTCAAGCAAGAGATGGAGGTGGGTGAGGCGGATATCGTATCGGTTGTCCCCCCTACAAAGAGGATCAAGAAGGAAGCCCGAACCGAGACAGCTAGCAAGACCCCAAAGGCCATCGAGGCTCCCAGCGAGAAAGGAAAGGCCCCCACTGAGACAGGAAAGAAGGCCCCCAGCGAGGCAGAATCCAGCAGCGAGTCAGGAAAGGCCCCCCGCAGCGAGGCAGGAAAGGCCCCCACCAGCGAGTCAGGAAAGGCCCCCACCAGCGAGTCAGGAAAGGCCCCCCCCAGCGAGGCAGGAACGGGCCCCACCACCAAGTCAGGAAAGGGCCCCGCCAGCGAGTCAGGAAAGGGCCCCACCAGTGAGTCAGGAAAGGGCCCCACCAGCGAGTCAGGAAAGGGCCCCACCACGAAAAGAAAGGCCCGCACCGAGACCCCCACAAAAGCCAGAGAGGCCCCTGCCAAGACCAGAGAGGCCCCAACAACCGAGACCAGAGAGGCACCAGCAACCGAGACCAGAGAGGCCCCAACAACCGAGACCAGAGAGGCCGCAACAACCGAGACCAGAGAGGCCCCAACAACCGAGACCAGAGAGGCCGCAACAACCGAGACCAGAGAGGCCTTGCCTGTTCGCAAAAGGGTAAAGGACCCGCAAATGCTGAAGCTGAAGCATGTCCTTGAAGATGGTGTCAAACGCAAGAAGTGCAAGCATCCAGAAGCAGGTGTGGTCTGTGAAGCATGCCCCGTAGTTTTAAATCATATGATATCCTATGTTCCACGTGTGCAGGTGTTCATGATGGTGCAGCGACTCCAACATCGACTATTTCCACGGCAGCCTCGACCTACGACGGAGGTACCATATGATATACATATCATACTCTAAACCCTAAGTGGCCTTAACTCATGCTAAAACCTTAAACCCGAAAACATCGTCCTGCAAAGCTTCGCTGCCAGGAAATGCCCACGTGGTTCTCGCCTTGGACGATGGCAACTACGAGTGCCAAGGCTGTGGCTTGATGGGTGACCTTGCAACTATCACTTCCGTGGAGTGTAATGCCAGAAGACTAGCCAAGATGAAAGAGCTTGTGCCTAGATTGCACTCAGCACTAGAGGACAATTTCATAACTGCTGTCGTGTAGCGATATTACATCTAAATCGAACTGAGGAGAAGCTTCGGGAGCTGACTTTGGCATTGCAGGAAATGAAGCGACAGCGTCTTTATGAAAGGGAGATGGATTTGGCTGGGCAGCCTGCGAAAGCCCCAACAGTCCCTTCGACTTCGAACCAATGCCCCTGTGAATCAATATGTGCAGTCCATGCATCACTCACGCGCACGTGCTGATTTCCCAGAACCTCCAATCCTGCCAAGGCACGGACAACTTGGAGACGCAGGTGTGGATGGAGGATTCCCAGCCTCCGTGGGACCCGGCATGCAAAGCTTTGTCATTCGATCATGCAGTGGCAGATGCCCCTGAGTCCGAATCGGAAAGCGCAGAGCCCCTTATGCATGTGGGAGCATCCAAAGGTGTTTTGCGGCGGAGCGGGAGGGGGATAGCCAAGCCCAAGATTGAAATTGACTTAGCCAAGCCAGAGGTTGCACCAGAAGCCACCAAGCCAAAGATTGCAAGAGCAACCACAAAGCCAGATCTCGAGATTGCAACGAAAGCCACCAAGCCAGAGATTGCAACAACAGCCACCAAGGCAAAGATTGCAACAACAGCCACCGAGCCAAAGATTGCAACAACAGCCACCGAGCCAAAGATTGCAACAACAGCCACCGAGCCAGAGATTGCAACAACAGCCAGGGGTTCCAAGATCTCGAAAGCAAGCAAAGGGGAATCCGCAAAGGGTCTCAAAGCCGATGGAGCTGGCGATGCACTCCCTGAAAAGCCCGCATGTATGGACAAGATTCCTCCTTCTATCAACCCCAAAGACCAGAAGCGCAGCAAGCAAGAGCCGGATGAGGAGGAAGCAGCAGGAGAGGGGGATGATGTGGATGGTGATGCACTCACCGAAGCACCGGAGGATGAGGAGAACGATGCCCCAGATGATGATGGCGATGACGATGACGACTGTGATGATGCTGACGGATCCGAAGCCGAAGAGGATGAAGAGGAGACTGCTTCGAAACCGAAGGTTATGAAGCGACCAGCAGCTAAGGCCAGTGCTAAGTCTTCGCCAAAGGCAAAGGCAAAGGCAAAGGCAAAGGGAAAAGCTAAAGCAAAGGCGAAGGGAAAGCCCGGACGGCCTGCGAAAGCCCCTGCAAAGACATCCCCCAAGAAGCCCGGCCGTGCAAAGGCGAAGGTCAGTGATGAAGACTCAGGCAAGGCTTTGAAAAGCCGCAAATCAGTGGCTTATCATAAAGCACGAACGGAAGCACTTGCAGCCGGGATGTCTGCAGAAGAGGCTTCAGCAATAGCCAAGGAAGATACTCGCTTGCATATATCGATCTGTCACAATCCATTGTACTACGCTGCCCCTCTATATCTACCCTACCTAGGCCTATCGCACTATGCAGTGAGCGCAACCATGGCGAGCCAGCAATTTTGATTTCGGCTGGTTTGGGTATTTGGGGAGATGTGCAGTATGCTGCAGCGATTAGAACATGTTCGCTGCCGACCCTGGCATGGATGGTGCTGGGCTAGCGTAGTACTGACATCGGCTTTTCAAAGATTTACCACAATGTGCATCGTGAAGAAACACGATGCCTTCGATAGCTTTGAGATTGCAGCTTGGGGCGCACGTGCAGCCGTGAAAGAATACTAGCAATGCATAGCCAGCACGCCTGTTTTTCATTAAATGTTATGCATGGTTTCTGTGCGCAGGTCTTCTTGATCGACAATGGAGAAATGGGCCTGTCGGGCTATGTCACAGGGCACTGCTGCCTTGATTGTTTCCATGAACTCTGCAGAGTGAGCCTGGACTTGTGCAGTGTCAACATGATCCACATAATTTATGGCTCAGCTGATTCGGGAGTGGCTTGATGGTTCTAGCAGCTACTAGCAATGCCGGTTCCTCGATGGGAATCCTTGATTCCAAACCTCGTGCAGCTCCAAGCCCCGAAGGCCCATCCTGGTGTAATCCCAGCAATCCCACATGCTAGAATATGTCGTGCCGGAGGCTTTCATCGGATGTGTGCTACAGCTGCATTAAATTAATGCGGATTATATGAGCACGTCTTACCGGTCACCCAAACCCATGGCCTTGAGCGCTTTGCAAGGTGCTGCTCCTCATGTGGACGAGCAACATCGACCTCCGCATGCAGGTGGAGATGCTGGAGCTCTTCAGTGGGGATGCGAAGGTGAGCCAGGTTTTCCGAGGAGCTGGGAAGCGCACTGTTTCGTATGATATGCTCTACGATCCCAAAGGGAGGTGCATGGATTTCCTATCCCCTGGAGGCTTTGCGTGAAGGGCTCAGTTTGGGTTATTTTGCATATATCATCAAGCTTGTAGCTTCAACTGCATGTAGATCACAATCCTGGAGCTAAGGTTAGCAATGGCTTGTGTGATGCAAGAAGGACCTAATGCTATGAATGTTCTGGCACCGGCTTGTGGAAGTTGGTCACAAATGTCCCGCGGCACATCGCTACGGTCACCGGTAAACCCATTTGGGCGGCAAGCGCTGCAATATGTTAGAGATGGAACAATGGTACTATCAAGGAGCTGGGTCTATGCACTCATATGTATCATGCATATCCCAGACCCCAACCCAAACTCCTCAAACCTCAAGCCCAAACCTGGCCGCAGGATGGTACTGCTCCTGCTGCTGATCATTGCGGTGCATGCTGTGTTCCTCATCGAGCAGCCTCGTGGATCTGACGATGTCTTCCCACACCATCCCCGGTTTGCTTGGTTTACGAACTGTATCTGCTGGGCTCCTTGGAGGGGTATTAGAACGATCCACATTTGCCCGTTAATATTCGGATAGTCCTGTACTCCCAATATACCCAAACCGAAAGCACTCCTCAACCATTAGTTTCAGAAAGTTCCTGGGGCCTGGTCGTCAGTCCGTTCCATCTTCGAAGTGCTGGCCTGTCGGGCTGTCTAGGAGCTTTTTAGGAGCGATATTGTAAACCCGAAAGACCAGGCCAACTCCCTAAACCCTAAGGGTCATAGTTGGGCTCTAGTATGGGCGATCGGGGCTCGCTTCTAAGCTATAGCTAGGATTGGGCTGTAAATTCCACAATATAGGGTGTATTAGATGCTACTTCTAGGACCATATGACTCTGGTAGTAGTACTACGTCTGCTGCTGCTACTGCTCCTGCTGCTGCTGTTGCTCTCTAGACTACGACTACAAAGATGTTTTGGGCCCAACTACGATCTCCTAAACCTATCGCCTGAAACCCTAAGCCCAAACCCGGCCAACTGAATCCCTAGACCATGGGACTCTAATAGGTTTGGCTTTCAGAAACTTATGGATATGAGGGGTCTGGCCTTGAGGCTATCGATTTTGTGGCCACTGTCCTGACACGGTTGCTACTGCCAGTGCTGTGCTACTACTACTACTATTACTACGACGACGACTGCTTCTACTTCTACTACTAGCTACTACTACTAGCTACTACTACTACTACTACTACTACTACTACTACTACTACTATACTACTACTACTACTACTACTACTACTACTACTACTACTAGTACTACTACCGCTACTACTACGTACTACATTAACTACTACGATTACTACTACTACAACTACTACGACTACTACTACTACTACTACGACGACGACGACAACTGCTACCACTACTTCGACTACGATTGCGCAAACTGGGAGTCTTGGAAGGATGGCTGAGGGCCTGGCCTAAGATTTGGAGTGGTGGGGTCTCGGGCGGGTTTAGGGTTAGGAGATTCTCGTGTTGGTTTTCCAGTTTTCTTCAGGTACAACATTTGTAGTGCCAGGGTTGTGGCTTTCGGCATCGGTGTTGTTGGAAGAAGCTATAGGGTCGTGTAGGGTTAGGAGTCGATGGTTTCGGTTCTTCTTCTGGAACACCCCGAGAACGTACCCTAAGCCCTGCATGAGTTAAACGAGCCCAACAGTCTCTACTCTTGGCCACCTATAAGTAGCAGCTGTCGTCGTCGTCGTTATAATGTATAGATCATCCTAGGGCTCGCATTATAGTCGTCGTCGTGGTAGCAGCAGCACATCAGTAGGGTTTAGGGTTTAGGGTTTAGGGGTTTATTTGTAGAATCCCCTAAAGGCGAATCCGCCAAAGCCTTAAATTGTGTGTGGGTCATAAAAAATCAAAGTATATCTATAGGCCTTAAGCCTCAAAGGTTCCCAGCACCTAGGACCCCCAAGGGTTCATGTCAGGTCTCAGCAGAAATGGGCTTAGTGGCATGATTAGTTAACACTTAGGGTTTAGGGTTAAGGGTTTTTATAGGGTTTAGTCCCCATAGTATCGGTTGCTTCAAAGAATCCTCAATTGTCAAACCATGCAGGAAGCAAACCTTAAGTTGCAGCTGGCTAGATTTTAACGGCTTCCGGGCTGCAGGGTTGCTATCGGCTTTCTATATCAAACCCTACCTATTATTCTTCCTGACATCGTCCCAAGCCGCGCTATTATTGGCCAAGCGGGGAAGAGTACCGTGGCACACCCATGCAGAAACCCTAGAAGGAGCGATGAACCCTAAACGGATCGGGGTTGGCTTAGGGTGGGTGGGGGGGGGGGGGGGG